GGGGGGAGGGGGAGGGAAATGGGAGGAGGTGGAAATTTTTAATAAATGAATTAAAATAAATAAATAAACAAAAAACCCACATCCAATTGAATTGAATGAATTAGGAGACCTCTGTTAATAACAAGGTTAAATATAAATGGCTTTAACACACCAATAAGAAGAGATTAGCTTATTCAATTTAAAGACAAGATCCAATGATTTATTGTATTTATGGGTTGTGAGAAATCATATTAGAAAGGTATTTTCACATGCATGTTTATTGCTGAACTATTCACAATAGCAAAGGTATAGATCCTGTTCATATCTTTGATATCCATCAATAAATGAATGGACCAATAAAATGTACTATTATAAACAATGGAATTTTATTAAACTATAAAGAAATAACTGGACAAATAACAAAATTTTGATCACATTATATATATGTATATACATATAATATATATATATATGAAACATGAAGGTAAAGAGGGAAATGAGAGATGTAAAGTGATACATGCAACATACAATAAGGGAGTAATCAAATACAAGAGGTAACAGAACATTTGTATCAAGAAAGCAGAAAGGAGAATGCAGGAGAAATAAAGGGCACCAATAAGAATTGGAGAACAATCAAGAGAAGGCTGGGGGAGTAAGTAAGAAAGTACGATGATGTATACATATGGAAATATTGCATGAAATCCACTCCCTTATATGCTAACCCAAAAATGTAATAAAAAGTTAAAGGCTATTCAAAACAAAGAGACAAGACAAAAATAGCAATTTTCTGAGACTAACCATTGCTTTATATAATTTCACTTTAATGATACCCAATATTTAAAAATGGTTGGCTTCAAAATTTCCAGTGGGAAAGATTTATATTAGTAATGATGCAACAACAAAGATTTATTAAATGGCAATGCTTGTTCTGCATTAATGATAGGATTCGATTCAGCTCATTGGAATATTTTCCTTATAAAAACTTAGGTTCAACTTAACCTTAACAGAATGAAACTGCATGTATTGTGTGATTCTTCTTTAATCTGTTGATTTAAATGTATCAAATGAAGTTGTGTCTGAAGTTACATGTGAAACAATCAGTCTAACTAGAGAATGACACATTTTAATAAACAAATAAATGAGAATATTTCCCAATTAGTGCCAGTAAACAAAAACTATGCAAGACATCACAAACCCACAGACATTTAGGCAAAAAGGTTTCATTTTGAGATTTTAATCTCCAGTTTGTTAAATATGCAGAGCACAATTCTATTTAAGGTGTTTGCATTGTGGTTTCCATGGTAATTTTGAAAGGCTCATCTGAAATAATTTTTTTAAATATAATTTTTTATTGAAAAAAAATTTTTCCGCCTCCTCCCTGCCTCCCATTTCCCTCCCCGTCTCCCTTTTCCCCCTCCTCCCTCTCCTCTCCCCCTCCCCCCACTCCTCTCCCCCTGAAATAATTTTTTAAGGTGAAGAAAAATCGTACAGATATTTTAAGTTATAATGTTGGTCATTTCCATAATTCATATTAATATAAAAAGCCATCCAATTGGCACAAGTAGTGTATGTTTTCTAAATAAAGTTAGGGTCATATTCTGATGTAGACTTCCCAATGTTTAGATAACTTGTACATACCCATTACTTTTTAATATATTTTTCTCAGATGAAGATGAGACAATTGGTCCCCTTACTGAGGAATAGGTAGGAGACTCTTTTTGTTGACTATCACGTTGTGTGAAGAGAAAGCTTTTTCGTAGACGGGCCACAGATGATATTGGCATAGAGAACTCCTGTAGACAGATTATTTGATTGCAGGGGATGTTTCTTCCCAACACTCAGTATCACTTTGAAATGACATGACATGACTAACCTGACAGAGTAGAAAGGTTATTCTAGATAATCATTTCATCACATTGTGTTGGAACATCTAAACATTCAAGAGAGATGGTCTGAAGATTCTCCTTCCTCTGATGAATTTCCAAAGTACTGTCCTTACATCTCACACAAGACTGGATGAACAAACTACCATGCTCTGAAAATTGATCACGAAATTCAGAAGTCATAAAATAATACACAACTGGATCAAGACAACAATTCAGATTTGCAAGACACAGGGAAATGATGTGAAAATACAGAGTGCTTTTAATAAAAGAGCAGTTGGAGAAGACGTGTTGCTTCACCATCATAAAAAACGGAAAGTTGAGATGGTAAGGCGTGAAGCACACTATGAATACCACTGCACACATTAGGACCATCCTCAAAGCCTTTTTCCTCTCTTTAATATTCTGGGGTGGGTCATGGAATTCCTGTAGAGATTTTCTTGTTTTCCATGTGCAATATGTAATAATTACAACAGGCAATACAAACCCTCCAAGTTCAGCAGCTGTAACCATGCCTATGGAGGAAGCCATACTAATGTCATGAAGCCCTAAATCAGCAAAGCAGGATTCGCTGTTGTTGGCTAGGCCCGCACTTCTCAGGATGGGAAGTGGCAAACAGGCAGTACCCACGATGACCCAGATGGCAACACTGATGGCCACATCGTACCTACGCTTCCAGTTTCTGGCTCTGAATGGCTTGAGGAGAAAGAGGCATCTCTGAAGGCTGATGCATGTCAAGAAAAAAATGCTGGCATACATGTTGAGATATTTCAGATAGAAGCAGAGCAGGCAAAGAGCCCTCTGGAATGGCCATTGACGGTTGATATAATAGTAAATCCGGAGAGGTAAGGACAGGACGTGAGCGAGATCTGCCACGGAGAGGTTGATCATGAAAATGATGGCCTTATTCTTCTTGCTGATGAAGCGGCACAGGACCCACAGGGCCGCAGTGTTAGCCAGGAGTCCAGGGATGAATATGAAGATATAGGTGGTTGCATACAGAGAGTACTGAAATTTCAGATATGTGACATTGCAATTATTCTCAGCAGTGCCGGTACTATTGCTGCCCATCTTGAATATCTCAGTATGTTCATCAAGTTGACCTATAGAGTTATGGCTCCTGTCCAAAGATATACGTGGTTGCCAAGAGGGTGTACTGAAATGGCATTTGCAGATCAGTGCACTGAACTGTCATACTGTTTGTGCGGTGATTTCCCAACTTGTGCAATTATGTTCCTTCCTTAGGAAAAGCTTTGCATGGTGGTTTCTATGGAAAATAGAATAAAAATAGGGTCAGAGGAAGGTCAGCATATTAGTTGTATTTCTACCAGAGGTGGTAAAATGTCATCTTTCATAAATTTGAAAGCTCCCATCTATGTCGAATTAAAATAGTGGAGCAATTTACCAAGAGATAAATAGTAGCTAGGGAGATATTTTCAAAAATGTTAAAGATAGTTATTTTGACAGTAACTTTAATCGGGTTTTTATTCTGACAGAGAGAGAATCATGAAAATTTCACACGTAGCCAACAGTCAAGATCTCATGACAAATATCCCATCAACCTTGTGAAGTTCCATGTTTCATTTGTATATCTGTCTCTGTCCAAAAAGTTTGAGATTTAGCAAAGTTATTGTTATCAACCACAGGATAATGAATTTTTAATCCATTTTCAGTAGCTACCTTATATATCATTATATGGCTGCTAAGTTGAGCTATGAAATCTTAACGGCATTAGGGGTCTAAGCAGGGGCTGGCAGGGCACCAGGCTTTAGGAAGGATAAGGTCTCAAGAAAAACAGGGCTCCCTTCTTCAAAATTTGACTGAAAGCAAATTTCACTAACATCTTGTTAATGCCTTTTATAAGCTCTTGCCACAAAAGTTCTGTGTTCATTAACAATACCACAGCAGCTTCAGACACTTCTATATATTGAAACTATCCTTTCACTATTTCAGTCACCTTCTAGAATTCATGAAGCCCTAGAGAATATCCTGTAAGAAATGAAGAGAAAGGAGGCTGTTTCCTTTTAGCTCTGAAATCCCGTGAAAATTCATGTAAATTGTTGTATTTCCAGTCGTCATAAATTTTGAAAATGTCTTTCATTGATTTAGTGACTTCAAATCTGTTTCCGTGTTGTTTCAACTTAGCTATTCCTGTCAAAGACAAAAGAGTCTACTCCTTGCTAGACAAAAAAAAAAAAGCTCTTCAAATATCTGAAAATAACAATCATGCCTTCCCTAAAATCTTCCTTAGCCAGGTTAAACATTCATTTCCTAATATGACATTGTCCTTGTTCTTGGTTTTGTTTTATATTACAACTTTACTGCTTTTGGCCAAAAGCCACCATGGTACAACTTATTTCACCCTTAGAATGAACATTTAACTAATTATCATTTGATAGTTTTTAGGAAATATGTTTTTTATATCTGATTTCAAACACAAAAGAATAAACATTTTATTGCTTCGCTGTACTTTTTAGTACTTGAAAAGGCAGTTAGTTTGCTACACATTTATAAAGTTAAAGGAAACATGAGACAACATTAATGGCAACAAGTATTCAAGTGGAAAAGTGAAATGCATATGCTGCAATGCCTCTTGAATTAGTCTGCAAAGTAATATGGGGTCCTAGAACCATGGGTACAAACCTAGCCACAGTCAATCAAAAGCTGTAAAGATGTAATCAATTCAGACAAAGCCCATACTGTTTCAAAACCTATGTGATGTCTCTGCAGTGAGTACATGTAACTCCTGGATAAACTGTGTTTACTTAGCTGAATGTTCAGTGCAGTCAAACAACCAGGTCATTCAGGCAAACAGCTACTCTGATTTTTTTTTTTTTGAGTTAACTATGATGTTGAATCAGGCAATTGGCCCAGTAAAGTGTAAGTGGAGAAACACTATCACCTTTTTATAATTTTCTTGCACTAACTGAAATAATTGATATTGTGTATTTTTTATATTCAAGCTAAAGTTTTAAAATACTTGCAAACACAAACCAGGTGGAGTGTTCAAATACAATCAGACACTTAATGCTGATAATCTTGGTTTAATTATAAAAATGAATAACAATTACTAAATGCCTATTTTGTACAGATTCTATAATAAGTACTCTGTGTCTACTCTATCAATCTCTGACACCAGTGTTATGAAACAATAAGATACAATGGCTGATTTGTCAGATGAACAACCTGAGACTTCTAAAAGGCAAGGCCTCACTTCCACAAATTACAAAAGTAATTTTTCTGGCATCCCAGTATCCATAATTCTAATAATTCTCTTTAGTGAGCATCATATAATATTTTTGGCATGTTGAGGTCACTTTCCTTTCCAGGTGGTTTTCCTGCGGGAAATAGAAATCTCCTACATGTCTAATACTCATCCTCTTGTTGCATATTTTCCTTTCAAATAAAAGTCTAGTAAATGGTTTTGAATATTGGGAAGGTCTGCTGACTTTTTGTTGAGTGAATGATTTTTTTTTTTTGAAGGACAAATGAATCTGAGAGACAGAAAGTCTTTGTGAGAGGAGGTGAATGAGTGGGAATGAAAGAGTGTCTGGGGATTAAGATTTAGCTGTGATGTTTGACTTGACCACCAGGTGTCAGAAGTACACCAATGTTCAAATATGTTAACACATGAAAGGAATTTAAAACTCCATTAACAGAAAAAGTAAAGGTGACCATTGGCATCCGGTGAACTTCAAAAACAGAATCCTTTCAACAATATTTTAGAATGCTTGGTTTACTATTGTTATTCGCTTCAACGTTTCATAATCACTTTCTAAAGATTGCTTGGCTTCTAGATGCATTATAGATTCCTAAATTATAGAGCTATTAGGGGTCATCTAGATAAGAATCAGTTACTTTTCAGAAGAGGAAAACAATTCTAGAAAGAGAAACCTAAAAGTTACAAATTCACACAGAAAGTTAGTGGTAATGGCTGAACTGGGGTCTCTGGCTTCTCACCACAGAATAATAGCAACTTTTCCAGGAACTTGGAAGATGGAAAGCACATTTTTGTAATTACACGATAACACAGATGTTAAGAAATGAACCAAAGCCAGATTTTAGATCACTAACCTTGACAGTTAACTGTTATAAAAAGAGGTATTGCGTCCTTCCAAATTTTCCAGAGCAAATATACTATCTTTAAAGGAATAACTCTAGTCCCTGAAGGATAAGATTGTGTAAGAAGCCTACTTAAAAATACTTAATTATGTTGTTGCTAATCTTTCATTATTTTTACACATAAGGAAATGAGTTCCATTAGAAAATAGAGATAAGCAAAGACAAAGCAAATTTTATTAATATCAAATGCTCAGTCTTAGAGTCTCGATACAGTCTGGTTTTATACATATACAGAGACTTTTATATAAACAAAAGTTTCCAGACATAACATTTTCATTCATAAACTTTGCAGGCAATTTTTCTATGTATACTGACATATAAATGGATTCATAAATAGCCATTTTAATTAAATTTGACTTGTATACACATATATATCCATAAACATAGTTTTAATCACTTAATCACAGTTAGAATAAAAATCCATGTCAATAATATCTAAATGATAATTTAATGGATATTTGCATTTTAATTAAATTATCTAGTATAATTTATTTACTTAATGGACATTGTAGTTGATTACCATTTTTCTTACTATTAGAAACAATGGGAAAGTCCAGAATGGTGATACCTGTTTACAGTCCCAAAGTTGGGAGGTTCAGGCAGGAGAATCAGGAGTTAAAGTTCACCATCCTTTACATAGCTATGACAAGGTCAGCCTGGGCCATGTGAGATCTTTTCTGGAAAAAAAAAATACAAGTTATAGTAAACATTATTCCATAGTCATCTTTATATAGTTGTACAACTTGTTTCTTAAATTTTAAGTTGAATTGCTAGGAATTAAGTAGGAAATTCAAATTATCCAAGAAGGCTTCCCATATGAAATTCCAAAGTTCATGTTCCATTCTGTAACCTCACAGTGTCAAATATGTTAGTGTTCCAAATAAATGAAATCCTGCCTGTCTGGTGGAAGATGTAGCTAACGATGACTCAACTGAATAACATGTGACAAATTGTGCAAACATAAGTTGAACATAGCTGTATACATTGTCAGATAGTAAATCAAGCTGAATAATATATCCTTTACCCCATATAGCTATGATTTTCAACAGAACATTTAAATTTTCCTGCTGGTAGTTCTCCAGTATTCTAACTATCATTTGTTATTTTGTGATGGCCCATGGCCAGTCTCCAGAATGGATGGTGACTCATTTCTTAGCACCCAGCTAAAGGATCGGCTGTAGTTAGACAACTACAACAGTTATCTTAACAACACAATGGAAAAGAATCTTGAAAGTTCCACTTAAAATAGGCTTCTAACCACAAATCCAAATACTGTAGCACATGACTCTCAAAGTTAAACATGCTTCAGAATGATCTAGAGTGAAGTTGTACCCGGAATTTTTTATTCAGTAGATCTCGAATGGGGATCAATAATAAACACTTCTAATAATTATCCCCCATGATCACTGTTTGAAATCACTGCCCGCACATACTTCTAATACAAGCAAGAGTTGCTTTATCTGAGAAAAAAAGTACTTTTTCCTCACAAATATTGGGAATAATTTAACTCACTGTTTTTTCTTTTCCACATTGGATATAAGGAATTTTTTTTGACAAGTTCATGGTCTAATTTCCAACAATTTGTAGTATAATCTGGCATGTTTCTCTATACTCAATTATCTTTTTCTTCTCAACACTCTGGAAAAAATACTAATAAAACATTTAAGGGAGGTTTTTCTCAGTGCTTAAGAGCAATTGTTGTTCATATGACCTTAGTTCCATTCCCAGCACACATATGGAGGGCTCATTGAATCCTTGGGCACCAGGCACATATGTGGTGCACAGACATACATTCAGGCAAAATACTCATACACATAAAATGATAAAAGAAAATCTGAGTGAGGTACGCCAGACCCAAAAAGAGGAACATGGGATGTACTCACTCATATTTGGTTTCTAGCCATAAATAAAGGACATTGAGCCTATCATTCGGGTTCTTAGAGAAGCTAAATAAGAAGGAGAACCCAAAGAAAAACATATAGGCATCCTCCTGAATATTAACCTTCATCAGGCGATGAAAGGAAACAGAGACAGAGACCCACAATGGAGCACCGGACTGAAATCTCAAGGTCCAAATCAGGAGCAGAAGGAGAGAGAGCACGAACAAGGAACTCAGGACCGCGAGGGGTGCACCCATACACTGAGACAATGGGGATGTTCTATTGGGAACTCACCA